TTGTCCTCAGAAAGGCGAAGTGTATCCGAAACGAAATGAATGTCTTGGGTTACTGTGGTCCAGGGCATAGGTAACCCAAGACGTTCATTGATCTATTTTTAATGAAAAATGTCCTCACAAAGGCGAAGTGTATGCGAAACGAAATGAATGTCTTGGGTTACCTGTGGCCCAGGGCACAGGTAACCCAAGACGTTCATTTATCTATTTTTATGAAAAATGTCCTCAGCGCCAGCAACCTTGTCCTCAGCTTCAGGAACCTTGTCCTCAGCGCCAGGAACCTTGTCCTCAGCGTCAGGAACCTTGTCCTCAGCGCCAGGAACCTTGTCCTCAGCGTCAGGAACGTTGTCCTCTGCGTCAGGAACCTTGTCCTCAGCGTCAGGAACCTTGTCCTCAGCGCCAGGAACCTTGTCCTCAGCGTCAGGAACCTTGTCCTCTGCGTCAGGAACCTTGTCCTCACAAAGGCGAAGTGTATCCGAAACAAAATGAATGTCTTGGGTTACCTGTGGCCCAGGCCGCAGGTAACCCAAGACGTTCATTTATCTATTTTAAATGAAAAATGTCCTCAGCGCCAGGAACCTTGTCCTCAGCGTCAGGAACCTTGTCCTCTGCGTCAGGAACCTTGTCCTCACAAAGGCGAAGTGTTTGCGAAACGAAATGAATGTCTTGGGTTACCTGTGGCCCAGGGCACAGGTAACCCAGGACGTTCATTTATCTATTTTTAGTGAAAAATGTCCTCAGCGCCAGCAACCTTGTCCTCAGCGCCAGGAACCTTGTCCTCACCGACAGGAACCTTGTCCTCAGCAAAGCGAAGTGTATCCGAAACAAAATGAATGTCTTGGGTTTCCTGTGGCCCAGGGCACAGGTAACCCAAGACGTTCATTTATCTATTTTTAATGAAAAATGTCCTCAGCGTCAGGAACCTTGTCCTCAGCGTCAGGAACCTTGTCCTCAGAAAGGCGAAGTGTATCCGAAACGAAATGAATGTCTTGGGTTACCTGTGGTCCAGGGCACAGGTAACCCAAGACGTTCATTTATCTATTTTTAATGAAAAATGTCCTCAGCGCCAGCAACCTTGTCCTCAGCGTCAGGAACCTTGTCCTCAGCGTCAGGAACCTTGTCCTCAGCGCCAGGAACCTTGTCCTCAGCGTCAGGAACCTTGTCCTCTGCGTCAGGAACCTTGTCCTCACAAAGGCGAAGTGTATCCGAAACAAAATGAATGTCTTGGGTTACCTGTGGCCCAGGCCGCAGGTAACCCAAGACGTTCATTTATCTATTTTAAATGAAAAATGTCCTCAGCGCCAGGAACCTTGTCCTCAGCGTCAGGAACCTTGTCCTCTGCGTCAGGAACCTTGTCCTCACAAAGGCGAAGTGTTTGCGAAACGAAATGAATGTCTTGGGTTACCTGTGGCCCAGGGCACAGGTAACCCAGGACGTTCATTTATCTATTTTTAGTGAAAAATGTCCTCAGCGCCAGCAACCTTGTCCTCAGCGTCAGGAACCTTGTCCTCAGCGCCAGGAACCTTGTCCTCACCGTCAGGAACCTTGTCCTCAGCGTCAGGAACCTTGTCCTCAGAAAGGCGAAGTGTATCCGAAACGAAATGAATGTCTTGGGTTACCTGTGGTCCAGGGCACAGGTAACCCAAGACGTTCATTTATCTATTTTTAATGAAAAATGTCCGCAGCGTCAGGAACCTTGTCCTCAGCGTCAGGAACCTTGTCCTCAGAAAGGCGAAGTGTATCCGAAACGAAATGAATGTCTTGGGTTACTGTGGTCCAGGGCATAGGTAACCCAAGACGTTCATTGATCTATTTTTAATGAAAAATGTCCTCACAAAGGCGAAGTGTATGCGAAACGAAATGAATGTCTTGGGTTACCTGTGGCCCAGGGCACAGTAACCCAAGACGTTCATTTATCTATTTTTATGAAAAATGTCCTCAGCGCCAGCAACCTTGTCCTCAGCTTCAGGAACCTTGTCCTCAGCGCCAGGAACCTTGTCCTCATCGCCAGGAACCTTGTCCTCAGAAAGGCGAAGTGTATCCGAAACGAAATGAATGTCTTGGGTTACCTGTGGTCCAGGGCACAGGTAACCCAAGACGTTCATTGATCTATTTTTAATGAAAAATGTCCTCAGCGCCAGGAACCTTGTCCTCAGCGCCAGAAACCTTGTCCTCAGCGTCAGGAACCTTTTCCTCAGTGCCAGGAACCTTGTCCTCAGCGTCAGGAACCTTGTCCTCTGCGTCAGGAAGCTTGTCCTCACAAAGGCGAAGTGTATGCGAAACGAAATGAATGTCTTGGGATACCTGTGGCCCAGGGCACAGGTAACCCAAGACGTTCATTTATCTATTTTAAATGAAAAATGTCCTCAGCATCAGGAACCTTGTCCTCAGCGTCAGGAACCTTGTCCTCAGCGTCAGGAACCTTGTCCTCAGCGTCAGGAACCTTGTCCTCTGCGTCAGGAACCTTGTCCTCAGCGCCAGGAGCCTTGTCCTCACCGTCAGGAACCTTGTCCTCAGCAAGGCGAAGTGTATCCGAAACGAAATGAATGTCTTGGGTTACCTGTGGCCCAGGGCACAGATAGCGCAAGACGTTCATTTATCTATTTTTAATGAAAAATGTCCTCAGCGCCAGGAACCTTGTCCTCAGCGTCAGGAACCTTGTCCTCAGCGCCAGCAACCTTGTCCTCAGCGTCAGGAACCTTGTCCTCAGCTTCAGGAACCTTGTCCTCAGCGTCAGGAACCTTGTCCTCAGCGTCAGGAACCTTGTCCTCTGCGTCAGGAACCTTGTCCTCAGCGCCAGGAGCCTTGTCCTCACCGTCAGGAACCTTGTCCTCAGCAAGGCGAAGTGTATCCGAAACGAAATGAATGTCTTGGGTTACCTGTGGCCCAGGGCACAGTAGCGCAAGACGTTCATTTATCTATTTTTAATGAAAAATGTCCTCAGCGCCAGGAACCTTGTCCTCAGCGTCAGGAACCTTGTCCTCAGCGCCAGCAACCTTGTCCTCACCGTCAGGAACCTTGTCCTCAGCAAGGCGAAGTGTATGCGAAACGAAATGAATGTCTTGGGTTACCTGTGGCCCAGGGCACAGGTAACCCAAGACGTTCATGTATCTATTTTTAATGAAAAATGTCCTCAGCGCCAGGAACCTTGTCCTCAGCGTCAGGAACCTTGTCCTCAGCGCCAGGAGCCTTGTCCTCAGCGCCAGGAACCTTGTCCTCAGCGTCAGGAACCTTGTCCTCAGGGCCAGGAACCTTGTCCTCAGCAAGGAGAAGTGTATGCGAAACGAAATGAATGTCTTGGGTTAACCTGTGGCCGAGGGCACAGTAACCCAAGACGTTCATTTATCTATTTTTAATGAAAAATGTCCTCGGCGTCAGGAACCTTGTCCGCAGCGCCAGGAACCTTGTCCTCAGCGCCAGGAACCTTGGCGTCAGCGTCAGGAACCTTGTCCTCAGCAAGGCGAAGTGTAGGCGAAATGAAATGAATGTCTTGGGTGAGCTGTGGCCCAGGGCACAAAATCCAAGACGTCCATTTATCTATTTTTCAGGAATCGAACCTGGTTTCACGCACTTACAACACTTCGTCCTTACCACTACACCATCTCGGCTACTCTTGCTTTAACTCCTTTTTTATTCTACTTATGTACAACTCTTTCTCGTCTTGGGTGGAATTAGTTAACAACAACGCCTGACATTAAATTGTTCACAACCAACGAACCTGGCTTCACGCACTTGCAAGACTTCGTCCTTACCATTAGACTGTCTCGCCTACACTTGCTTTAACTCCTATCTTATTCTACTTAACTCTTTCTCGTCTCGGGTGGAATTAATTAACAGTGACACCAGACAAAATGCTCTTGGCACAAGTAGGAATCGAACCTGGCTACAGTGCTGCACGCACCTGCAACCCTTCGTAATTACCACTAGGCCATCTCGCCTTGTGCATAATCTAAGTTTTTCAACTTTGAAGTGGCCCAAAATGGACAGATTCGGCGATTTGGTTTTTGAAAACGTGGTCAAAAATTGACCAAGCCTTAACGTTTCGCCCATTTTTGGCCTCTTTTTCCTTTTGTAAAAAAGAGGCAAAAATGGTTTAAAAGTAAAGACTACGCCCTTATCTTTTCGTCTATTTTGGAAAGATAGAAAAGTTGCTGAAAATGGAGGAAACGTTCAGGGCTAAGCTTTTACTTTTGTCTAATTTTTCGTCTTAGAGGCGAAAAAGATGGATGAAAAGTAAAGGGGTAAGCGATTACTTTCTTGGTATTTTTTCATCTTTCAAAAGTCAAAAAAGTAGCTAAAAAGTGGACGCCTTCACTTTTTTGCTATTTTTGCGTCGTTTTCAAAAATAAAGTGACAAAAATAAAAAGGTTTACGAAAAGTAAAGTTTAATTTTCATCATTTTTGGTTCCTTTGAAAAAGTGGCCAAAATGAGTATTGAGTATTAGCATTTTCCGAAAAGAGATCAAAGTGCATTCTGGGATTGTTTGGAGGGACAAAATATATGGTGACAGGCGTCAAATATGTAAAAGAGTAGAAGTATCTACTATCAAAATCAACTTTTCAGACAACCAAAAATGAAACATCTCCTTTTTACATTAAACATTTAATTTAAATGTATGCTGTCATATTTCTTGTCCCTCCAACAAGGGTTTGCGCGACTAGACCAAGGACTTTGGGAAATGGCTAATTGGGGAAATGGAAAGGCTAGTCCCCAGTTCTTTTTTCTATTTTTGTCTAATTTTTCAAAAATCTAAAAAGGCCCAAAAATAGGGAGAAAAAGTTAAGGATAAGCACTACGCATAAGTCGTAATACATTAAATACGATATAAAAAAATTACCGCAAGACTTATACATATAAACATCTTGTATTTGGTCATATTTTAGTCTATGTTAAATTTAATTTATTGTTCATATCCGTATCTCTACAAATCTTTCTCGGTCCTGTATCAACCCGCCAGATTATCTGGAAAACGAAGAATATGAAATAATTATGTCGCTGCTAAACTTTAATTTTATTTCGTGGGATAACTGGATAAGTTGTGACGTCAAAATTCTAGGGAATCACATGCCCTGACTTATGCCCAGTCGAAAACTAAAGGAGACCCCCCAAAGCATATGAGCGAAATTTTCAAAGTTGTTCAAATATATTTTTATCAGTTGATAATCAAATTGTTTTCGTCTATTTTCAGAACGTTTGAAGGAGGTCGAGGTCTTTTTTAATTTTTAAAAATTTCCTGTGCTCCCCCCTTTGTATTTGACTAAGGCGGGACTAACGGGTATGTGGATCTGATCCATATGCAAATGATACAGTCAATAGCTATGACGCATGTAAACATGCTAAAGTCATGCTAAGGTTGTGGATTACCTTATTTATACACCCTGTATAAATTTAAAACAAATATATAATATATAAACATACCCTCACGAAGGCAGTGTTTGTGTTTTCCTTGGTGGTGTTCTTGGATATGGTCCGTTACTGGCAAATAATGGTGGCGGTGGTGGTTGTTCTGAGTCCTCACCTGGGGTATTATTCGATACACTATTATTAAAGTACATTGACGATTGTTCATTAGGGGGACCCCTTTGGGGCACCATTCCACGTTGAGGCGAGATGTTAATAGGAGGAGGTGGTCCCCTTATATTTGTAGCTGGCGATGTCCCTGGAAATCTGGTTTTAAGTGGATGTCTTAACATTTCTGTGGGCATCACTCTTTGTTCTGGAACCCCACCCCTTCTCAGATAACCTTGGGGAGGTGTGTTTTCCAAGGGTCCTCTTAGTGCTCCATTTCCCATGGGTCGAGGGGCCATCGCATTTTGGGGAGGCCGTGTCAATGGTGCATTCATACGAGGTGGTCCACCTCTCATCGGTGGTACAGGAGATCTTTCTAATGGCAACTGTGGACCTCTTGGTGAGAACAGGTGGGCAGGGGGAGGTGGTGGCGGTGATGATGATCTTTCTACAGGAAACGCGACCCCTCTTGGAGGCAATATGTGACCAGGTGGTGGTGGTGGTGGTGACGAGGGCCTGTCCCTCCGTCTTCTTCTAGAAGCATCTAGAGGAGGTGGGGGAGGTGAAGGTGTATACCTCTCTCTACGCCTACGTTCCGCATCCATACTAGGGGATTCTCGTTGCCCCTTGCGTCGTGGGGCCATGTTTGGGTCCCACAGTGGTGGCGGTGGTGGGGGTGTTTCTCTGTCTTTGTCACGCCGTCGGGGAGGTGGTCCCATGTCCGAATCCCAAGATGGCGGCGAGTTTCTGTCTCGAGTTTTACGACGAACACGCTCCTAAAAGATAAATATTCTGTTAGCAACAAACCATGCATGCAATTCTTGAAATCACGTATTAATAACAAATTAAATTATAATTTTCAAAAAGTGTTGCTGTTTTGTTTTAAAATGCATGCGTTTGTTTTTACGTAATGGGCCGCCGGTCCATTTGCCGATCCATTACGGGAAAATAATGGACCACTGAAAGTGCTTCTCAGCCAATCATAGTCCGCAATTTCACTGGAAATAATGCTTGCCACATAATAAAGTGTTTTAAGTCACGAGAATTATTAATGAATTGAAAAGATAGTTTAAAGGCTATGTAGGACGTCTCGTAAATAAGTTATTCACTGGCCACTGTATAACGGTTACCTAAACTCTTTGGTTTGTTGAAATATTTTACGCTTACCTTTCGCTCATCCAGTGGCGATCCTGATGGACTCTTCCGAGGATTAGAATTATTTCGTTTCTATAAAAAATATTAAAATGTTATAGTTCTTAGTACAATCTTGTATTGCCAGGAACAATTTGTTTCTGTATATCACCAAAACCGTGGATGATTCCTTTCACCCGAAAAACCATGTCATGACTTCGTGTCTAATAATATACATGAAAACATTTCTCAATTCTGATTAGCTGAGAGCAGTGCAATTTTTTCGAAATACAGTGCCAAAAAATAAAATACAGTGCAAATTTCTTAATTTTTAAAATTTTCTTAATTTTTTTTATTTTTCAATTTTGATAGTCTTTGCAAAACTCACTCGTGCATGTTTTTTTTCTTCTCCAAATTGCACACTTATACAAAACATTCAGGAATACATCTACATTCCTACGCCAACTATTAGCGAGATTCAAATTTTGACTTCCACTACCGCCAACCAATCAGATGTGTTTAATCTACCCGATTAACCAATCAAATGCGTATTAAGCCAGGGAAATGTATAACCTACCGAAGAACGAACACTGGTCGTTGGTGATTCAGGACGGGGCACGGGTGATTCCAGATTATCAGCTGCGGTTGACGATACAGAGACTGAGTCTAGGAAATAAGAAAATATGTAATTTGTTACGATGCTTTGCACTCAAGTGTCGGATATACTGTGGCCGGCCTTGTGCTATCAAACAGTATAGTCAGGGTTCTAAACAGAAGCTGCTGGCCTCGGCGATCTATAGCGTAAACAATCTTCGGTAATTTCCTTAAAATATAAACCAAAATATTTCCTCCTTGCAACAGTCATGCCAATGGAATGATTTCTTGTTTTTATAACATAAATATTACACGACATCCTTCGTCAAATGCCATTTCAAGGAGTTTAAATTTCAAATTTTAACGGGGAGACGCAATCGGACCCTCTCTTCCCTAGGTTGTTGGTACCTTCAGCACCACATAACCGCCTACTTCTATCAAAAAACCTCCTACTCTAAATTCTATAGGAAACCTGGATAATACAATAATTGTAACTTACCTGCCGGCGGTGGCGGGGCCTTGGCACTAGTTTCCAAATCATATAATCTGAAAAAATAAAATTTGGCAAAAGACAATTTGCGTGACCTTTACGTGGGCCGCGTCATTTGATCGTGCCGTCCCGCGTGCTTTAATGATGTAAGAACTCAAAGCGCCTGGATACGAGGCAGACAAGGTGATATAACAACTTGTTCCTCAAACATATCCTGATATTGGCTTGAAAACAAACTTGTTTCAACTTGTTTGTAGTTATGTAACAACTTGTTATATATCTGTTACATATATGCGTAGGAGGAACCAGCGAGCAATTACTGTATCTTGATGAGCCACTAGGCTCCCAAAAGATCTGGTTATTTTTTTCATAAAACCTACCTTCTTCTCAAAGCATCTCTCTCCCTCTTCATCTCCTCCAACTCTCGTTCTGCTGAGCGGAATTTCAGCTGTAACATAGAAGGTAAAAAGATTAAAATCTTTTTGAAATTTTGTTCACTCAGTTCATGAATGGATGTAAAAAACGTACCCAATTTTCATGTGCTCTCTCTTCAGTAGAAGAAATCTGTAAGAAAATTAACAAACATACTTGGGTGGATGAAAGACTCTGTAAATAAAC